TGTAATTATGTATGTATATAGTTTCAAGAATCTTAATAAAGTATTAGCATAACTGCTTAAGGTTAAAAAAAAAAAAATTTATATATTATAATATTAGAAAACTTAGCAACAAATCTTTAAGAATAATTAATGCAATTTTATGTTATAATTTAATAATATTTAAATTAGCATTTAATAAATTAAATGCTAAAACTGCATTAATATAATTAGTTTATAATTAATATTTTAAATACTTAGAATTCTAATAGAATAGTTAAAAAATATATACATTTAGATATGTAATTACAGAGTATAATTTAAGTAAAAAATAAAAACATAAGCATTGTCATAATTGTAATAACTAACAATAGTAAAAAAAAATTTTAGAAGCAGAAATTAGTAACTTAATGCAAATTAATTTGCATATTAATCTAATATTTGTTATATTTTATTTTTTTTATAGAATTTAATTAAATAATAATTAATTATCAAAGATAATAGTAAAATATTTTCAAATAACCTAATAATTAGATAATTTATGATATAATGTTTTGTAAACTTTTGTTTGATTAGCTAATATGAGTTGATTATTATAATGTTTATTAAATGTTTTACAATTTATTAATAAGTATTTGTACAATGTTGTTATACAATATCAGAAATGAGAAAAATCTATGAAAACACTATTTCAGTTACAGAAAACTATATTTTTCATTCAATCTATTTCTAGTATAAGAAAATGACTTTTTATAAAAGAAGTTAATAGTACTTGTAATTTGAATATTAGTTTGAATTTCAGTAACTAAATCTAAAAACTTATTAATAAAGTTAAGTCTAGCTAGTATTACTCAGTTTTAATAAATTTAATTCAAAATTTTGAGACCTTGCAAAAAACATTAAAATCTATAAAACAATATGTATTTAAAAATGATTAACAAATTCTTTTGATTATTTGACAATTAGCAATTATTATTTTATCTATCTGATAAAAAATTTACTGAAAAAAAATGAAAATTACAAAATATTTGACATTAAGACCTTTAAATTTATATTGGGTCACTAATTTTTGTGTAAAAAAAATTATTTTACTATTGTTTGTTATTGTATTTTTGATTTTACAGATGTATATGCTTATTTATAAGTTTTTTTTTTTACTGAACCATGAATAAGTTATATGAACTAATTAATTTCAAGACTTTGTATTTATTCCAAATACTTACCTTTTAAAGTATTGTTCAAGATGCTACACACAGTCATAATAAAAATAACCTAATTATATGCTAAGAATTGTACACACTATTTAACTCTTAAGTAAACTATATCCTATGTATTTTATACACTGTTTCTGATATAAGATGTTAGATCAGTTCTTATTATATATTACTTAAACTATTTATTAAATACTATATCTGCTTTATTCTCAGTTTTTAGCATAACTGCATCATGCAGCTATCTATATATTAATATAATAGTTTAAATGTTTAATCTAAAACATAAACAATATAAGTATTAAAGATCTTTGATTTAAACTGCTATTAAAGCAATAACAAAATAATAGTTTCTTTTGTTATTCTATTTTTAAATGTTCTAAAACTTTGTGTTTAGAGTTTATAGAAAATATTAAAGATTTAGATTATTTAGATTTGAATTTAAAAAAGTTAACTATCTTCAACTAATTAAGTATTTATTGACAATACTCTTTAGAAGCCTCTTGTAATGCGATTTTCTATCCTGCTTTTGTAATTCCTACTAATTCAAGTTGCTTATCAGTTAATTTATATATCTGTGTAACTTGAATAGCTTGATTTTGAAATTTTGATAAACATGCTAAAATTTCACCATTTGCATTTTTAGTCTCATTTATCTTTTTCAAAAATTCATTAAATTGAGGAACAAGTTTAGAAGAATTTAATGATCCTTGTAATACTGAATTATATATTGGAGTATATAAAGGTTGTAAATTAGAAAAAGTTGGGAATGACATAAAATAGGGTTAGAAAGAAATATTAGGTATTAGTTGTGAAGAAATATTTGGCATTGTATATAAAGGAATATTTGGTAATGATTGTAAAGACATGTTAGGCAAATATAGAAAATAATTATTTAACAATTGTGATGAAAAATTATTTGATATTTGAGATGGAAAATTAGTCGATAGTTGTAATTATTGTAATGGTATTTGTGATAAGATTTGTGATAACATTTGTGACAGTATTTGTAATGTCATTTGCGATAGCATATATGAAGATGCTTGTGAAAGCATTTGAGATGATACTTGAGAAGGTATTTTCAAAGGCATTTGTTGAGATAATTGTGATGAAAGCTGTGAATTAGATATTCCTCTTTTATTAGTTGGTATTGTAAAAATTGTATGACTTGGTGGTGTATTTATATCTGCTAATCCATTTAACTATTTAAAACAATTTTATAAGTTTAATATTATAAAATAAATAAATTAAAAACAAATCATACATACAATTGCTCGAGCCTAAGTTGTATAGTGCATGCCCGTTAATTTAATATGACCAGTTTTAGTAATCCAACAAGAAACTTCACAATTAGCACAAAAATATTTTTCATGAATCTAAGAAATAGTAGATGCCATAATACGTTTATCATTATCAAGCTGAGATTCTTTAGACTTTCTGCTAAATAAACGTGTGTTTTTTTTTTTAAATCATCATCACTATTAGATTCTTCAGATCTCTAAAATAATAAAGTAATTAATAAATTAATAAAGTATTACTATATTGATATGATCGTTTGATATATTAATTTTATTTAACATTCTTTTTAAAGCTTAATTATTATTATTTCAAATTGTTTGAAATTTATAAAAAATAATATAATTACATATCATTCTGGTTAATCGTTTTTTTGTATTACTTTTTGAAAAATTTTGCATTTGAATATTAATAAACACATCTTTTTTTCTATTTGTAGCTTGATTATAATCTTCAATAAAACTTTGAAAATTACTTTCATTAATAATTTGAGTTCCTGATCCAGTTTCTTTTGTTACTTTATATAATAATACATATTCATTTTAAGTAATAGTAGTATCATTTAGTTGAAATTGAATATACGAAAGGATTTGATAATGGAATTCATCACAAGAATCTGCTAAAATATTTAATCATTTTGCTGGTAATGTAGTATTATCTTGATTTTTAATATATAGTTTAAACAAAAATTTTTTATTTTCATACTTATTATTTCTATTATCTAACTCATCTAACTGTCTATTAAAATTGTCATTCTCTAAGTCTGGTTCTTCAACTTCTTTATTTAAAAGATCTTCGAATTCATCACATACTGATACTGATGTATCATAATCAAAAGCAATATGATCATGATGTTCACCAATCTCAGATATGTTGGTAATATACTTATTTGTATTAAAAGTTGTATAATCATCAAGCTGGTCAGTTTCAGATATGTTGGTAATATGATTATCATTATTGTTAATAAAAGTTATATGATCATCAAGCTTGTCAATTTCAGATATGTTGGTAATATGATTATTGTTATCAAAAGTTGTACGTTCGGTAGGACTTTTAGATTTGATCAACTTTGAGTTTGTAGATTTAATCACCTTTGATCTTGTTGGTTTAGTTTTACCAATACGATACCATTTACTATTACATGCAGAACAAAATGAAAATTTGAAATCTTCTGTAAACTCCATATCGTAATAATATTTTTCCTTTGAATCTGTTAAGACTTTAATTTGTTTATCATTAAATTTTGTATTATAATGAATTGTAAAAGCATATGGAACTAATTTTGTATGATTTCGTGTTGTAGGTGTTATATTTTTATCACATTCACATAAAGATTTCAAAGAATCTTCTTTGCAATAAAGACACTTTGCGCACTGATAGTAAGTACCAATAAGGTAATCCATAATTATTTTATAAAAATAAAGAAAAAACAATATTTTTTATATAGTTTTTGCTATACATTTATAAATAAATTAAACAATTGGGTACAATTGCATACAATTACGTACAATCAGGTACAATCGATAGCAATCGATTGCAATCGAACAATCGAGGTATGCAGCGATCTACAAATTTTATCAAAAGTTGCATCAATATGCAAACAGCGATAATCAAGTGATGCAGATCCGGCCGATGTGAACCGATTTCCGATTGGTAATTCAAACCTGGATTATAGAGCTGGCTAAAATTATGCCAGCTGGCCAGAATTATGAAAATCGCACCGCGCAACCTCAAAAATACCTGCGCAGTGTCCCATCTAAGGATGGCTCCGAAAGTAGGTACTTTCGGTACCTGCCGAAATCGAAAGTCTACCGAAAATACTTTCGAACAGGGTTTGGTTTACCGAAATGTTCGAAAGTCGAAAGTCCTATAGGCGAACCCCAAAAAAGGAAATTATAACAATGAGCATCATTGTTATAATTTCCTTTTTTGGGGTTCGCCTAACAACTATACTCCTACCGAAAGTCGAAAGTCATACCGAAAGTCGAAAGTCATACCGAAAGTCAAGGCCAATCATATCTTTACACAGATATGATTGGCCTTGACTTTCGGTATGACTTTCGACTTTCGGTAAGACTTTCGACTTTCGGTATGACTTTCGGCATGACTTTCGGCACGCCAAAATACTTTCGGAGCCATCCTTAGCCCTATGTAAAAGAAAGTATAAAATAAAGGCTTCAAGCCCTACGAAGAGAAACATTCATTATTCATGATTATAATAAAATTCGCCTCCAAATAATTCCCTACTTTCGCTACATCATAATACCTACGATCATAAATTCCCACTTGCCAAATCTAGCACGTCCATTTCGACTTAGCCGATTCGTAGGTTACACGACGTACCCGATTGTGAAGCGAGCGACTGACTTGCCGTTTAAAGTTGTCAATATTGATGTTAATTTAACCCTTGTCTTCTGTATATGGTCGTAACCTGTTATTTGTTTTACGTAGTGCGATCATCCTTTTCTATTTACAACAAGTTGTGTTGCTGTTATGCATAGAGAAATACTCACAAAAGGAAATGTTTTATTCCCACCATTTTGTATATATATATATACTTACACGACCCGATGTGCATATAAAAAAAAATATTTTACAATGCCAGATCATTTCGCTAGTACATGTTATGATTATAATACAACAACATTTTTATTATAACAAAATGGTGTTGGATTATAATCATAACATGTACTAGAGGAATGATCTGGTATTGTACTTATATAAGACATTTTCACGGGTCAACAATTCCACTTTACAGCTGTTATCATAAATTTTGGGACAGCTGGCAAAAATTAGCCGAATGATTTTTCGGCCGATCCGGTTGAGTAATTAATTTCGGCAGTATTCGGTATAACGATAATATAGACCAAGATAAAAATCGCCACCCAAAAAAGTTTCGAAAATCATGTGATATTGTCAAATCATCAATCATTAAATATTAATATAATTGTAGTAAGTAATTTTTTCTTCGATACTTCAAAGTGAAAAGCGATTGTTAAAACATAAAATCCAATAAACACATTATCCTAAAAATATACGTTGATTGCTGTAACCAAATTCCCACTAATAATAAACGTAAAAAAAATGAAAATCGAAATAAAATTATAAAAACTAATCATAATACTTTCTGGTTGTACGTTTATTGAATAAATAAAATGATAAATTTATTGCTTATCATATAATTTTGTTAGTCTGAATTTTTTGTTTAAGTTACATAAATTTTTAGTGCTCGATATATTAGTCATGTAATGTACGAAACTTTTTTGGGTGACGATTTTACCCTGGTATATATTATCGTTATACCGAATACTGCCGAAATTAATTACTTAACCGGATCGGCCGAAAAATCATTCGGCTAATTTTTACCAGCTGTCCCAGAATTTATGATAACAGCTGTAAGTATTCCACGTTTTGATTGTAAATACCGTTTATCAGTAACTTTCCTAAAATAACTCGCATCTTTGGTAATACTAATTGTTTACTTTCTACAAGTACAGTAAATCCTCAGCAATTTCCAAATCAAGTAAGTCCTTAAGAGGTTAAATCAAAAATTTTAAGTACTGAAGTAGCGCCAAACAGATTATTTTTATCGTAAAATTTTAGTGTCTAAATCGTTACGCAGTATCCCAATCTAAAAGTGTTGAAATGATAAATTTAAAAACTAATACATCTGCATATATGATATTTATTATTGAAATGAATATTTATGTATGAACACATAAAAGGTAATATGTATGAGGGAAATAGCGGAAGAAATGGAATAATTTCAAAGATTATTGGTGCACCAATGGCATTCGTTGTTCCGGTCATGATATTGTATAATTATTCGCATTTTTTTAAAGAATGGATGGCTATTGTAGAATCATATAAGATTAATACCTTGTGGTATATTTAGTCATCATTCACTTTGAAAATTAGTTTATCTTCGGATGATTTACAGTCAATTCAGTTAAATTAAAATTAAGCATATCTACTAATACTAAACAATATACACTCAAATCTATTTTAAAGAAATGAAACTATGACTCATAGCTTTCGATTAAAATAGCAATTCCAGTACGAACTTAATACTTGTGCACATCAGTTATCGTTATATCAAGCGGAATCAAGCAACGTAAACAAATAAAGTTGATAATAATCAAACTATTAAGCGGTATTATCGGCATTGCCTTTTTCGGAACTTATTTGAATCAATTTGAATATAGTAATTTGAAATAGTTTTTTGTATGTTAATTTGTATGATAGTAATTTGTATGATAGTGCTTTGTATGATAGTAATTTGTATGATAATAATTGATAAGATAATTACTTGAAAACCTGTAATCTTAGTCGCCCAGTTAGATGGGCATGGAAAAATAATAGGAAATTCAACTGGTCATAATTACAAGTTTAGTTTAGCGTGTGCTTTATCAAATCAAAAAAATATTTTATTCTGATGGATTTAGAAATAAATTATTCCTATATTAATAAACAGGTTTTAAAGTGGTACCTACTTCAAAATATTATATTAAAGCAAAGAATGTAGAGTTTTATTTAATCGGTTCTTTTTTTTTTTAATTCCTACCTTTTGACCCTACCTTTTGAATTTCTGAAAAATGACGGACGAATTAATTCAGAACGAAGTAAATATGGTTACTACACCAGAATATTTAATATTTATAGATGAAACATCAAAAACAACTTTTAATGAAAAATTAAAACGCGAACGACCTTCTAATTTAACCACAAATAGAGTGATTCAAAGAGATGCAGATTTAAAAACTAGCCCTCAAGATTTAATATTTAAAAACGAAACACCATATACAATTAGTAGAAAGGATGAACTAAAACGTCAAAAACAAAATATTACGCGCGAATCACAACGTTCTGCATCATGCCCTGTTGATTATAAATCTAAGTCTAGGAATAAAAAACCATTACGGTCAAATTCATTGCCTATTAAAGTAAACGAAGAATTTATCGAAAAACAGGTCGAATTATGGAGTGATATACTATTGGGTGAAAATTTCGACAACGTAACTGGTATGTATTGGTTAGATATTAATATCTAGTAATTTTATGCTATTAGTTGTTAAAAATTACTAAATTATTTTGGTATACAACTACAGAACCGGTTGACGAAACCTTTATTCAAGAATTTGACACTGATTTTAAGAATAACAGTTCATTATATGCAAATGCATCTACCTCAGGATGCATGCCATTTTGTTGAGGATGAATTAGCCCCATAAAAAATTTCAAATGGTAAGTGTAACATTACCTATTTATTTTAGGTACAAAAATTTTACGTCACTAGTAGAGATGCAGACATATCTCGGATTAATGGTAGCTACCCTCTTCCTGCATATACAAATTGGGTAGCTACCTACTTATGGCGATGCCGTATGTTATTTCATGCTCTAATGTCTGCATATTTAGTCAATAGCGATGATTTATTAAAAGATTTCTACACCTATTTTATTTACGGACATATTTACATGGTACTAATGAATTTTTTTATAAAAACAAGGGCCATAAAACGTCCGGGTGAGTTTAAACTGTAATTTATTAGTAGCGCTCATTCTCATTTAATGATAATTTCGAAAAAAAGTTGGCTATTAATAAGAAAAGGCAAAAAAATTTTAATCAAAACTATTAAAAAAAAAATAAATAAATGAAAAAAAAATCAAAAATAAAGAATAAAATCAAAAAAAGTAAAGGTAAGGAATAGGAAAATGCAAAAAAATCAGTTTTTATGTATTACGATGATATTTGGTATAGTTAGTATGGGATGTATCGATGTATATTTATTACTCGCAATTTTGTATATTTATCATATTTTTTTCATTTTACATTCCATTTCTTATATTTCATTACTCCATTTTTTATTTTGATGATTGTTCTTTTTTTTCTCGTTGTAAATTTAAAACATGAGAATGAAGCAGGATACAACTTATATATATACTTTTTAATACTTTATCCGGATTTTAGTATTCCAGATTTAAAATAAAATGTTCCATTTGGAAATGTCATAATTTTTGGTACTTTCTATTTATTCTTATAAGAAATCTATTAACACATAACTATATCAATGGAGTTGATAATCCAATAAAGTTAAATTGGATTAAACTTACGGTGGTTTTAATAAAATTAAGAATAAATAATAGTAAAGACTGTTTATGCCATCAAAATTTAAAATACTTTCACTAAAAGTTAACTACATATTTATGTTCATGAGTTGCTTGATGGTCAGGTCCCTTACACAAATTTAATTAAATTACTAAAATAGTTTCATATAATTACATTAAAATGGCCCATTGCATGACGATAGTCACGCAAGAAGTATTATCGCGAGGATGAACTACTGCAGTACTGCAGATCTTGTGTAATAGTGAATGAATTGAGTAAAAATGGGAAGTGATAGTAAATAGTGAATGAATTGAGCAAAAATAGAAAATGATGACATATAAAGGGCAGGTAG